TTAAAAAATGAATTAAAAAAAAAAAAAAAGCTAGGAGTGGCACGTGCCTATGGTTCCAGCTACTTGGAAGGCTGAGGTAGAAGGATCGCCTGAGCCCAGCAGGTCAAGGCTGTGGAAGCCGTGAGTGTGCCACTGCACTCCAGCCTGAGCAACAGAGTGAGACTCCAACTCAAAAACAAAACAGGGTGTATATGCTTTCTGACAAAGTTTATATTTATAACTCCTATATATTATGAAACAAAAGGTTTTTTTTTTGTTTGTTTGTTTTGAGTTGGAGTCTTAATCTGTCGCCCAGGGTTGGAATGCAGCTCACGGCCACCCCAGTTGGGCTCTGGCGACCTGTTGGGCTCTGGCGATCCTTCCGCCTCAACCTTCCAAGTAGCTGAAACTACAGGTGTGTGCTACCATGCCTGGCTAATTTTTTGATATATTGTGGAGACAAGGTCTCACCGAGTTGTCCAGGCCGGTCTCAAACCCCTGGGCTCAGGCAGTCCTCTCGCCTTGGCCTCCCAAAGTACTGGGTTTATAGGCTTGAGCCATTGTGCCCGGCTGAAACAAAAGTTTTTAAAATGAAAATTCCTGCAAAGCCCATAGGATCCTTGAAATGCTTGAGCGAGATCTGCCTTGTGTGGGGCGCTGCCGCCCTTTGCCGAGTGGGAGTGTCTCTGTGCTGGGCTGTCCGTTTTCTGAGCGGCCCTTGGAGGAGCAGGAGTGAGTTCTCAACAGCTATAACAAGCTCCTGAGCTCTTCCCTTTTGTGCCCCCTTGTCTGCTGCTCACTGTGCAGGTGGGTGACAATCCCAGCAAAAGAGCAATGCACTGTACAGGATTGTGGTTACTGGTGCAGAGCTGTGCTCAGTCATCGTCCTGTTTTGAAATGTTGAAGCATCTTTTAGTCTGGTGTCATTACTAATCTAGTTATGAATCTGTGCTTTTTTTTTTTTCTTTTTTAAAGCAATTTAGCTTTGATATAGCTGAGGAAGCATCTAAAGTCTGCCTGGCACATCTTTTCACATATCAAGATTTTGATATGGGAACTCTTGGATTAGCTTATGTTGGTTCTCCCAGAGCAAACAGTCATGGAGGTGTTTGTCCAAAGGGTAAGTTTTTCCTTTTGTCGTGCAAATATGAAGCTGGAATCTTAAGCTGATTGGATTGTAGTGTGATTCTGTATTTAATGAGCAAACTTGTCTCTGTTCTTTTGCCTTTAGCTTATTATAGTCCAGTTGGGAAGAAAAACATCTATTTGAATAGTGGTTTAACCAGCACAAAGAATTATGGTAAAACCATCCTTACAAAGGTATGTTGTTGTTATTTATTTATTTATTTTTACAAGAATTGCTTTAGAGTGTATTGTAGTAGAACCTCAGTTATATATTTATGTAGGTTAAAATTTTTTTAAAATAGATTTAGGGGGTACAGGCGCATTTGTGTTATAGATATGTTGTGTGATGGTGATACCTGGGCTTTTAATGTACCTATTATCTGAATAGTGTGCATCATGCCCAATAGGTAGTATTTCATTCCTTACTCTCTTGACCCCTTTGACCTTCCGGAGTCTCTAGTGTCTGTTATTCCACGATATTGTTAATACATACTGTTTTGTATTTCTGCCTAAATAAAATACATGTTTCTTTGTGGGAAATATGAAAATTAAAGGTTAAAAAAGAAAATAAAAATGCCTGCCAACCTTCTTTTGAAACATGTCAAAGCCGTTGCTTTTCCTGGACTCTCACTCCTGAGCCCTCTGACCTGCTGCTCCTCTCAGGACTCCTGGGCTTTCAGTCTTGCAGCACAGCTGTCATTCTGCGGTATCCCACACTCTCAAACAGGACCCCAAAGTCTTTCTCTTTCTTGATTTATACCATCTTTTTGTGTAGTATATCCTTCAGAAATTTCCTTAAAAAAAGGTCCATGAATCCGTATTCTTGGGATTTTGCATATCGAAAAATGTCTTTACTCCACTTTTAAACTTCATTGATAATTTGAATGGGTGTATCCTCAGTTCTCATTTCTCCATTGTCTTCTAGTGTGCATTTTGGTCTTAAAGAGTACAACTGGCCAGGCTCGGTGGCTCAGCCTGTAATCCCAACACTTTGGGAGGCCGAGGCAAGTAAATTGCCTGAGCCCGCGGGTTTGAGACCATCCCGGGCAACTTAGCGAGATCTCATCTCTACAATAAATCAAAAGTTAGCTGGGTACAGTAGTGTGCCCTTGTAGTTCTGGCTACTTGGAAGACTGAGGTGGAGGAATCGCTGGAGCCCAGTAGGTCAATGCTGGGGCGGCCATGAGTGTGCCACACTGTGTTGCCAGCCCGAGCAACAGAGTGAGACTCCAATCAAAAAAAAAAAAAAGAATCTATAGCCATTCTGAATCCTTATCTTTTGTATATCACCTGCATTTTTGTTTTCTGGAAGACTTTTAGCATCTTGTTTTTGCCCAAATGAATGTCTGTTAAAAATGTGTTTGACTACAAGTAACAGAAAGTCCAATAAACAGTGGCTTAAATAAAAGGTTTATTTGTCTAAATCAGCAGGATGTTCAGAAGTAGCATTCTTTGGGTGATGCAGCAGCTCAGAGGTGCTCTTAGGGTCTTCCTGTCTTTTACTCAGCCATTCTAAGCAGGAGGCCTTTGTCCTCATGCTTATCACCTCATGGTCAGAAGATGGTTCCCTTCTGATTTGAAGGAAGGAGAAAGAGACCTTGGCTAACCTATTATCCCTTATCAAATGCTTCTCTGGAAGCCCCATCCTGGCTTCTGTTTATATCTCACTGGACAGAATTGGGTCACATGTCTGCCCTTAGCCTCAAGGGAATATGGAAAGGGTTGGCTGTTACAGCTCAATATATTACTGTCCTGAGCAGAAATAGAGCTCTTTAGGTAAGGAAAAAGGGGAGGTATAGATAGACATTGGTGGGAAATACTGATTTCAGGTACACTGGTATTTTGACTGTGATATCATACTTGGTGTACTTTTTCTTTTTCTGCTGTGCTGGGCATGTGGGCCCTTCAATCTGGAGATGTATGCTAATTTAAATGGTGCAAATTTTGCTTGTATTATTTCTTTGATAATTGTTGGCCTCTTTTCTGTTTTACGTAGGATTCTATTAAACCGATATGTAATCTACAATGATAGTCTGATTTTTCTTAATTTTTCTCTTGTTTTCCATTTGTTTTGTTTTCTTTTCTTTCTAGATGATGTCCTCAACTTTGTCTTTAGCCATCCTTTGGAATGTTTTCTTCCTGCTAGCATTTTTTTGTTCTCAGTAGCTCTTTTGCACCATTCCTTTTTTATAGGTTCTTCTTCTTTCATGGTTGCATATTTTATGTTCTCATGTACTTTCCCCCCACCTTTCAAAATTGTGTTGATGTCTTTTGTCTGCTGTTGTCTCCTTGGGCTATGTCTTTTTTTTCCCTTTCCTTTGTTTTTGTGGGATTTCATGAACGAGGAGAGATAACTGCAGTGTATGCATTTTTACTGGTAGCTTCCCATTGTTGATTGTAACTCTCAAAAATGAAAAAATTAAACAACTGACAAATTAAGTTTTTTGAGAGAAAGTAGCAATATTGGTGAGTGATAGACAAAATAAATCATGTGGGAGGCTGGAATGCTCATTATAGAAGTGCCTAGTTTTAAAAGTTGTTTTTGTTGCTGTTTGTTTTTAAAGACAGAATCTCCTTTTGTTGCCCAGGCTGGAGTACAGTAACACAATCATAACTCACTGTAACCTTGAACCCCTGGGATCAAGTGAGCCTCTTCCTCAGCCTCCTCAGTAGGGACTATAGGCACAAGTCATCATGCCCAGCTAATTTTTTTATTTTTTGTAGGCACAGAGTCTTGCTATGTTGCCTAGGCTGGTCTTAAACTCCTGGGCTCAAGTGGTCCTCCCACCAGGGCCTCTCAAAGTGCTGGGATTCCAAGTATAAGCCACCTCACTGGTTGTAATTTAAAAAATTTTTTTTGTGTTGCTGTAATACAAATCTCTCCATCTTCCCACACCTTCTGAGGAGTTGGTCACGTAACAAGCAACCTTTCTTCTCCCCAATAAAAAGAAAACTGAATCATATTAGAAAGTTTTAGAGTTTGAAGACTAAAGAACAGTTAAGGTGAAATGTTAAAGCTGGGTGTGGTGGCTCACACTTGTAATTCCAGCACTTTGGGAGGCGGAGGTGAGAGGATTGCATGAGCCCATGGAGTTGAGATCGTCCTGGGCAACTTGGTGAGACCATGTCTCTGCAATAAATCAAAAAATTAGCTGGGTATGGTGATGTGCGCCTGTGGTTCCAGCTACTTGGAAAGCTGAGGCAGAAAGATCACCTGAGCCCAGCAGGTCGAGGCTGCCGTGGCCGTGAGCGTGCCACTGCACTCCAGCCTGGGCGACAGAGTGAGACTCCCACTCAAAAAAAAAAAAAAAAGCCGGGCTCGGTGGCTCAGCCTGTAATCCCGCGCCTTTGGGAGGCTGAGGTGAGTGGATTGCCTGAGCCCACGGGTTCGAGACCCGCCTGGGCAGCGAGACCTCATCTCTACAATAAATCAAAAAATCAGCCGGGTGTGGTAGCGCATGTCTGTAATTCCGGCTACTCGGAAGGCTGAGGCGGAAGGATCGCCAGAGCCCAGCAGGTTGAGGCTGCGGTGGCCGGGAGCGGCCACTGCACTCCAGTCTGGGCGACAGAGTGAGACTCCAACTCCAAAAAAAAAAAAAGGTGAAATGTTATGACCTTGTAGAAAGAATAGGAGAAAAGCAAAGAATTTTGTCATTTCCTGTACTACAAAAAAAAGTGGGCCAGGCCATAGCTGTGCGAAATATTTGCAAAAGACACATCTGATTAAAAAAAACTTATTTATTTATTTGAGTCAAAATCTTATTCTGTCACCCAGGCTAGAGTACAGTGGCACAATCTTGGTTCACCAAATCCTTGACCTGGGCTCGGGCTTGTTCTGGGCTTGGACAGTCCTTCAGCCTCAGCCTCCGAGTGGCTGGGACTGTAGATGAGTACCACCACACCCAGCTAATTTTAAAAATTTTTTAGAGATGAGATCTCCTTGTGATGCCCAGGCTGGTGTCAAATTCCTGCATTCAAATGAGTCTCCCACCTTGTGCTGGGATTACAGGGGTGAGCCACCACACCTGGCCCAAAAATATACAAAGAACTCTTAAAACTCAACACCAAGAAAATGAACAACCAAGGTAGTTCAGCTACTTGGAAGGCTGAGGTGGAAGGATCGCCTGAGCTACTGCACTCCAAGCTGGACGACAGAGTGAGACTCTGACTCAAAAAAAAAAAAAAAAAAAGAAAATGAACAACCCAATTTTAAAATTGACAAAACATCAGAACATATACCTACAAAGATAGCAACAAGCATATGGAAAGAGACTGACATCATGTTCTTAGGAAATTGCAAATTAAAACAATGAAGCGTGGGCACAGTGGTGCATACCTGTCGTCCCAACTATTTAGGAGGATCCCTTGAGCCCAGGAGTTTGAGACCAGCCTGGACAACATGAGTGAGATCCCGTCTCTAATTTTTTTTAACCAACAACGATGAGATATATTACTAGTCTATTAGGATGGCTAAAATCCAAAATACTGATAACACAAGGTTGTAGAGCAAGAAAAATTCTCATTCATTGCTGGTAGGAATGTAGATTATACTAGGGGAGACCAAAAAAAGAAAAAAACACCAAAATTGATTTTTAAAAGATTGTGTATTTATTCTTACATGTTTAAACGTCAGTCACCTTCAAAGTACCCTCTCTTTGATGCAATATATCTATTGAGATGCTTTTTCCACTGCTCACAACAGTTTTTAAACTTATCAATTTTGATGCCTTTTAGTGCTTCTGCTGTTTTTTGTTTCACCCCTTCCACAAAAAGTTTCCTTTGTGAACTTTTTTCATCTGGGGAAACAAAAAGTTGCCCAGGGTGAGATGGAGTGAATTGGGATGGTGGGGCTTGAGAGTCATGCATTTTTGGTCAAAAACTGCCTGAACACTCAATGTGGTGTGGGCAGGTGTGCTTCTAAATCACCCATCATGAAATGGGCAAGACTCTCAAAAAAAAAAAAAAAATTCGCTAAAGGTGAATACAGCCTCTCATAACAACACTAGCTGGTACACTGATGCTGATGGTTCTTAGAACACTTTTTTTTTTTTTTGAGTTGGAGTCTCACTCCATCGCCCAGGCTGGAGGGCAGTGTCACACTCACGGCCACCCAACCTCGACCTTATTCTGTTTGATTTCTAATTGCTAGAAGAAACCACAGTCCATTTTTTATTGTTTTGTTGATATGATTAAAGGGCTCCATTTACAACAGAAGCCCAATTGGCAAAAGGAGCTGAAGGTTGGGTGTTGGGAAATGATGTTTGCTTTGTGTGATCCTTCAGGAAGCTGACTTAGTTACAACTCATGAATTGGGACACAATTTTGGAGCAGAACATGATCCAGATGGGCTGGCAGAATGTGCCCCGAATGAGGACCAAGGAGGAAAATATGTCATGTATCCCATAGCTGTGAGTGGCGATCACGAGAACAATAAGGTACGTGTGTGAGAGAGTTCCTATGTGGTTAGGAGAGAAGGCAGTTGTGTGTGATGATCACAGTAAGCTCAGAAAAGTGTCCATTCCTGGTGTCTCCCTAGGAATGTATCTGTGAGTCACAAAGTACCCTGAAACTTGAGATGTGTTTTGGATCTAAAACTATCATTTGGCCTATTTGTTATCGAGTTTGACCATGTATAGAATTTGGACTCTAAGAAAAATTACTAATAGTAGAGACTTTTGTTGGAGTTCTAGATTTCAGGATCTGGCAGGCTCAGGTTTTATGTTAAAAATTTTCTGTCATTTCGTTTACAAGTTGTCATTTATTTTAACTCTACAATACTTCACACTTTACATGTTTTTATTCACTTTTGCAATAAAACACATAGTTTGCCAGACTATAAGCCTTGTGGGAAAGCCCTTTGTCTTGTTCAAAGCTCTCTCTCCAGTGCGTAGTCAGCATACCTGGCATATAATAAATCATCTTTGAATAGTTAATTGAACCATTTACTATTGAGGGTTTCTAGGAAACTATACTAGATGATTTGGGATCTTGTAAACAATTTCAGAGACTTTAAGGGTGGCTGTGACTAATTCCTAGAGCCTGAACTAAAAGGCAAAAGTGTTAATAAATGTCTGGTTTGTTCATGTCATTTGAAGTTAAACAGCATAAGGCATTGTGTGGAAAACAGTTGTGCTGCTGAGTTAAAGAGGGCTGGTGGGGAGGGCCGAGGGAGTCTGAATCTGACCAGGAGAGAGGGAGAAGCGTTGTCCTGACTCGTGTTTTGAACCAGGCCATCAGATGGTGAAAGCCTGCCCAGGATCTAGAGGAAAGGAGGACTTCTGAATCTCCCTGGCCCTGACACCTTGCTTTCTCACATTTCTGCATCCTGATCTCGTTGTCTTCTTTTGTTTTTCTTTTTCCTCCCTCTCTCCTTTCTTTCCTTCCTCCCTCCCTCCCTGCACCTCTCTCTCTCCTTCCCTGTCTTAGGGGCTTCTCGATTGTTGTCTGGGGTGAAAGTGAGACCATTTTAGCAACTGCAGAGACCTTGCCCTAAGAAATGACCACACTCAGTTTTCCCCAAGCCTCTTTTCCTCTTTCTGATAATTTCAGGTGTCTGCAAAATAGGCTTAGTTTAGAGGTTCTGGTAAAATTCCCAAACTTAAAAGGGAGGCACTTCAGTGTTTCTGCTTCCTAATGGGAAGCTAGGGGCTTCCTTTGAGCACTGGTCAACTATAGAAAAACTCACAGAAACTTACATTCTTGCTGACCTGTGAAAACATGTAGGTAGTAATTTGGAATTTAATTTTTTCAATAGATAATATGTAATATGCCTCTTACTAAAATCGGATATTTAAAAACTGGGAGCCCAGATCACCTGTATAAATAGTCAGGGAAAGAGAAAGGGTTAACCAGAGACACCCCCTCTATATTCCTGAGTCTTTTTGTCTGGAGAGACAATGAACTGCCCACTCACTGCACCAGTGGCCTGCCTGAGGGAGAAAACTTATGGAGTCATGAGTTCTCTGCTGTGGTGAATTGGCTGTCTCTCGAGGTCACTGGCTGGGATGTCTGGCCTCAGTGTTTGCATAGCTTGCCAACCTTCTTGTGAAGCATTTTAAATGCTTGATCATGTCTACACCAGCCACTGAGCATCCTACAGAGGGAGATATTCAGTCCCATATCCATGGCTTTTGGAGGGGACTGTGATGGCCTTGATACCACTCCAGGGTGTCTCTGTTGGTGGCTTTTACATTATGAGTTTGTAGAGAAAAAGCACAAACATGACATGGGAATGAAATTTTATGACGTTATCTTGGGTCCTTGTGGCCCTTTTTCTCTTAAGATGTTTTCAAACTGCAGTAAACAGTCAATCTATAAGACCATTGAAAGTAAGGCCCAGGAGTGTTTTCAAGAACGCAGCAACAAAGTGTGTGGGAACTCCAGGGTAGACGAAGGAGAAGAGTGTGATCCTGGCATCATGTACCTGAACAACGACACCTGCTGCAACAGCGACTGCACATTGAAGCAAGGTGTCCAGTGCAGGTGAGGTGCCACTTTAGGGAGCTGGGATGACAGGTGTCCAAGGAACAGAAGAGTGGACACACAAGGGGTTTAAAATCAGCGAAGGGGTGTGTGGTACCACTTACCTCTTTTGTCCTTCACAGCAAGGAAGTGCTGTCTGAAAAGCACTGTGACATTATCTAACAAAATCCTTGACCTTGTGTGCTGTCTGCTTTAGCAATTCCACAGTTGAAAGGATCTTTTTTAAAGAAACAGATGTGTAAGATGTTTAACATGGATGTTCATGGCTACATCCTTTTATAATAGCAACATATTAGAAATAATCAAAATGGCAGTCCTTGGGTGTGAGTTGTTATGTATCTATGCAATAGAATAGGATTGTGGAGGAAGCAGATTACGAGTTAGAGGGAACCTGTGTTCACGTTTTTATGTCCACAGCTAGACAGGTGCTTCGCTTATGAGTAAAAGGAGGAAACCTTACTTTGTGGTGAATAATTGAGAGGTAACTTAATTTAAGAGTTAACACAAGCATGTGAGCACTGTAAATGCTGATGGGAGCAGGTGCTGCCTGCCTACTTCTTAGCCATTGGCTACCTTGGGACCCCATTTTGCTTTTCTTCAGAGGGTCTTAGGAATAATTTTTTTTTTTTTTTACTTTTTGAGCCAGAGTCTCACTCTCGCCCAGGCTGGAGTGCAGTGGCACACTCATGGCCACTGAAACCTCAACCCGATGGGCTTAGGCATTTCTTCCGCCTCAACTTTCCAAGTAGTTGGAACAACAGGCGTGTGCCACCACACCCGGTTAGTTTTTTGATTTATTGTAGAGACAAGGTCTCACCAAGTTGCCCAAGTTGGTCTCGAACTCATAAGCTCAGGCAATCCTCTTGCCTCTCTGCCTTCCAAAGTGCTGCTACCATGCCCAACTGGGATAAATATATATATATATATTTATATTTTTGAGTTGGAGTCTCACTCTATTGCCCAGACTGGAGTGCAGTGGCCGCTCCCTGCCACCGCAGCCTCGACCTGCTGGACTCCGGCGATCCTT